TTGCTCCTTAATGTCCTCCTAGGCTCTGAGCCTCGAAGCCTCCCATCACAGAACATTCTGGAACATTGCAACAGCTCACTTGCATGGAATGCACAGACATACCCACCCCCTGATAGACAGGAAACAACTAACAAGTCAACAAGGTCTCTGGGAGCAAACATTTTATGCTGAGCACAGCCTCCACAGCATCCTTCTCTCTGAGTCTCCCTTTCCCTGTCTGAACAAAGGGATGCCCTACAGGGTGCCTCCTGGGTTTGCTTTCATGATGAACTGTGACCCTCTGTGCAAATCACATGGTGATAATCCCTGACACATGCTAATGTTCCACTATTTGTACTTACCTTCATCATATTGATTATAGCGATTACATAACTTCTGTTCTTTGTTTTTATAAACCACAAGTGAACGCACATCCTTGTAAACATATGTAATTATCTCCTTAGGATAAACCCCTCAAAGAAAATGTCTGTTTCCCAATATAAGCACATAGCATTTGTGGAGACATTTTTCTAAAGCACCATTGAAAATTGTGTCCCAGTGATCACTTCCATCAACATTTACGACACTGTTTTCCTGAACCTCTGATGAACACTCTCATCCCTTACTTTCAACTTTGTCAAGTACATAGATTTATTTTATAGCTTTATTCCTATTACTTATTCCACATTCTCATATTTGTTTATGTTTTCTTATCACAAATACATTGGTTTGATGTTTCATTTACACCTTCCCAAATTATTTTCTAACATTTTTATTTCTCTTTTCTTTCTTTTTCTTTTGTTGTTTGATTGCATTTGACACAAAATATTACCCTCATTTCAGGTGTACAACATAGTGATTTGCCATGTAATCCAACAATTCCGCTCCTGGGTATTTACCCAAGGAAAAGAGAAATACCAATTCTATAATTATATTTTGAATCAGTTGTAGCTATTTTAAAATATGGAATTTAACAGAGAAGAGCCAGAAGCCCCCAACACTGGGAGCTGGTCTGACAGTGATAGTCAGGCTCAGTGTGGTCAGAAGCTGGTGAATGTCCACCACCTGGCCATATTCCTCTCCTGTGGGACATGAGCCTCACAGAACATCAGCATCAGCCAAGGACACTCTGAAACCATGACATCACTTTGTGTCATTACAGACAAAACAAGGCACTACACAACCCACAGAATAATACACATCTCCCTGTGTCAGCCAATGTGAGCAATCACTGCTTCTTCACCATGACTGCTCTCCCTTCACTCTGGTCTGCCCTGCTGGAGAGCAGACTCACTGGGATGCTCAGCCATGGGATTGCCTACACGTCCCGACAACACGCAGTCAGGAGTGGCCCCCAACTTCCATGGGTCCTCTCCAAAACTCCCATCCAAAGCCCATGTCCCATAGGTTCTAACACCTTCATATTAAGATGCCCCGTGGCATCTCACTGCAACAGGTAATAGATCCAACTTGAATGCCCACAGGTGCTCCTAGTGGTCTTGGGCTGAAGAGCATTGAACCATGTTACCCTTTTGTCTGTCACAATTGTTTTTGTGTCTTTTAATTTGTTCATGGACATGAGTTTGTATCTTTGTGAGAGTGTGGTTGGCATGCAGATATTTAATAAATTTCCTATAGGTTTTCGACACTAGACTGTGCTTAGAGAATTTCTTCATCCTACAGTTGTAAACATTTCATGTATATTTTCACCTCAGTAGAAATGAGGAGCAGAGGGTTTCACAAGGTTGAAGGGAAACACGGAGAATTGTCTGAATTTGGGCAAAAGTGTGGGGAGGAGCAAGAGGTAAAGGATGATAAGGTGGTGGAATCTAACATGTCTGTCTTCTGCTTTATGACATTTACAAGTACGTACAGAGCCTACGAGATACAAGTTGTAGCCAATATACCCTCTCACCTGGGCTCAGTGAAGACTTATGAGCCTCCTAATGTTTACCAGGTGAACACAACCAACACCAAGACATCCAAAGTAAGAGATAACAATGAGCTCCAGGGATGGGCATCTTGAACACTTACGACCTAGATGTGATAATCACGTTTTGGCTAATGTCTGTACACTTCAGCTGTCTCAATGCATGGTACTTACACTTTCATGCTGTATTTTAAGCATATGTTTCAGATCCACATAGACAAATCTACAAATTCCATTTAAAGGTAAATTTAATACACATACACCTATGAGTCACAGAGTCTCTTCTTTGAGGAGGATCCTGACAACTAAGAGCGTTCTAGATATGTACTGTCTGAATAATAGTTATAAGCCACCTGTGGCTACTTAAATTCCTATTCATTTAAAACAATTAAAAATTCAACTGCTTAGCACACCAGCCACATTTCAATGCCACCTGCATCTCAAGAGCCACATGCATCTCGTGGCCACCATACTGGACAGCGCGGATACAGAACAATTCCTTCCACACAGACTGTTTTATTGGAAGGTACTATACTTCATGCTTTGTGGGTCTCAAGTCAAATACACTAGATACATGTAAAGTGAAAAACCAACATGATTTCTCTTACAGACGACGTCAGATTCCTGGCTGGGATGAGAATACATAAGAAGCTGATGTGTCACAAAATCAAAGTTGTTTATGCCTAGGTCTGGTGCCTTCAGGGGAAAACTGTCCCCAGTTACAAAAAGGAAATCCCTGTCCCTCCACCTCCCTTCCCAGACTGGGGACCCTCTCTGCCATCACATTTCCAGGAGGTGAGGTCTCCTCTAGATGCACTCAGGGCCTGAAGTCAGAGCTGAGTTTTCAGAGAGCAAGTACAGCTCAGGGAAAGGGATTCTGCTGAGTGAGGAGGAGGCCAGGACAGGACCAGTGGGAGACTCTCCCAGGGTTTTCAGAGCAGCCGTTCTCAAAGTGTGGTCTGAGGAGCAGCTGATGTCACTGAGGCCCTTGCACAGAATCCATGAGGTTAACACTATTTTCATAACATTACTTAGACATTATTTGCCTTTTCACATCATTGACATTCACACTGAGGTAAAACTTAGCAAGAATGGAGGTAATAGGTCCACAGGGCAATTGTTTTTCTTCACCACTACTCACTTCCATAAAAAAACAAAACCACTCTTTCCACCACTTTCCAAGCCACCATAATGGTCCCATGCATGTCCCAGCAGATGCTCTCAAGAGTATTAATGCCTAGAAGAGAGGCAAAGTCAGGTCTTATTAGGCCATGCTCCAAAGTCATCATCCCATTTCTAACTGTGATGACAAAGCATGGTTATATTGGGAATTTGAAATCACTGCTGATCACAGAGCTGGGAATATTGCTGTGAACCTTATGGGCAGGTTAAACCTGAGTGAAGTGAGCAGCGCAGATTTGATGTGCAACTCAAAGATCTACCATGATAGCAGAAGAATCTGCCCCCCATCCCTCCAGTTTGGTTTCATTGTCCTGACAACCTCTGCTGGCATCATGGACCATGAAGAAGCAAAATGAAAACTCACATGAGGGAAAATCCTGAGACCTAGGGAGATAATACCTACATGCAAATAAAATACCTCAAAAACAAAAGTAGGACAAAAAACTAGTATCACATTCAAACATACTGATCAAAGCACTAGAAATTATTATCTTTATTAATTATTCTCAAATCCACATTTAAACATGTCGTATGTGATGACATGGGATGTACAGCACTTCTACATACATAAACCCCAAGGAAAATAATTTGTGTAAAATTAACTGGCCTCTTTTTTCTTTTTTTTTAACAGAATGCCATTTTTACCCGAAGGAATGAATGACACAGAACTTGGATTATTTAGACTAGCACAATTGACCGACAGTGTCTGGAAAATGAACATGAAGTTACCCTTTCAGGAAAATCAACTCATATATGACAGCTGAGAGTACTTGTTGCCTTGATCAAATGTAAGGTCTCAAGAGAAAAATCAGAATTTTGGGAAACTTGTGATGTACCAATAAACTTGACAGCTTCCCACTACTGATCTATTGGGATCTGTGGTAATATTAAAACAAATATGACTTTTGATAAATCAATTTTAACCTCATCAACACTAGAACACATGCATAATTTAGTTAAACAACACATTACTTTTTTAAAAAATCATGCGTTAGTACAAGATCCATTCAGTATGCAAGATGGGCCTGTGGATTTTAAGATATCAGATGACAGAGTCAATGATACTCTCTCAAGTTCCACTTTGCAAATAACCTTAGAGAAAGTACAACTTGTGTCATTTGAATACAGTACCTAAGATGAATAGCCGTAATTATCTGAGAAGGTTATGAAACATACTAGTCTCCCATATTTGTGTAAGGTTGTACATTTTTTCATACACATCAACCAGAACAACACAATAAAGGCAGAAGCAAATCTGAACATCCAGGGGACTTCTAAGGAGACAGACAAGAAAGGGACTTGCAAAAAAGTAAAATGCAAGAACATCACTCTTCTCTGATTTTTATTTGTAGAAATAGTTATTGTGCATAAAAACAATATTTCTGTTTTCATGCCATGGATTATTAATATGATTCTAAATGAATTAATGAATTTTTAAACCTGTTTTATTCCTACTACGGTAAATACTGATAGAGATAACCCACAGATACAAAATGACCCTTGGGATCCTCAGTCATCCCTGAGACTGTACAGATACATTGTGAACAGAATGTTTGAGAATCACTGACTCACGGAGCTCCTGGGCCATGACTCAGGGGGACAGTGTGACAAAGAGCGCTCTGTGCAGTAGGTGAAGGGTCAGGGCAAAGTCCCAGGTCCCTGGGTCGCCTCTCAGGACCCAGGGCGGTGTCTGGGTTGGGGAAGCCCAGTGTGGGGAGTCTCCATCTCTCTGGGTTTCACTTTTCTCTCTCCCAACCTGTGTCGCCTCCTCCTGCCTGGATACTCGTGACACACACCCAGCTGGCGCTCCCATTGGGTGCCGGGTTTCCGGCGAAGCCAATCAGCGGCACCGCGGTTTCGGGTTATAAAGTCTCCTCACCCGCCTGCGAGCCCAGCGGCGACTCACCGTCTCCTCAGACTCTGGAGATGCAGGTCGTGATGCCCCGAACCCTCCTACTGCTGCTGTGGGGGGCGCTGGCCGTGACCGAGACCTGGGCGGGTGAGTGCGGGGCTGGAGGAAAGGGCCTCTGCGGGGAGGGAGCGAGGGGACCACCCGGCGGGGACGCGGGACACCCAGGGTAGGTGCCTCTCCGCAGCCCCCATCCCCGCCCCGGCCTGTGCTTACCCCGTCCCTTCCCGCCTGCACCCTGCTCTCCCCGACTCGGTGCCCTCTCTCCCTGCCCTCCACCTGGGCCCCGGGCCCCGCGCCGGGAGGAGGGTCGGGCGGGGTCTCAGCCCCTCCGCGCCCGCAGGCTCCCACTCCCTGAGGTATTTCGACACCGCGGTGTCCCGGCCCGGCCGCGGGGAGCCCCGGTACTGGGAAGTCGGCTACGTGGACGACTCGCAGTTCGTGCGCTTCGACAGCGACTCTGCCAGTCGGAGGATGGAGCCGCGGGCGCGGTGGGTGGAGCAGGAGGGGCCGGAGTATTGGGACCGGAACACGCGGAACTGCAAGGACGCCGCACAGACTGACCGACTGAGCCTGAACAACCTGCGGGGCTACTACAACCAGAGCGAGGCCGGTGAGCGACAGGGCCCGGGTCCAGGTCACGACCCTCATTCTCCGATATCCGGGTCTGAGCGTCACCCGAGTCTGAGGGACCCTCCCGCTGCCCCTCCGCCGTCCCGCATCCTTAAGGCCAAAGAACCCGCGGGAACTTTTAGGCGGTTTTACTTTCTGTTTGGACTTAACCCCCTGCCTGTCGGGGCGGGGCCAGGGTCTCACACCATCCAGCGCATGTACGGCTGTGACGTGGGGCCCGACGGGCGCCTCCTCCGCGGGTACAGTCAGTTCGCCTACGACGGCGCGGATTACCTCGCCCTGAACGAGGACCTGCGCTCCTGGACCGCGGCAGACACGGCGGCGCAGATCTCCCGGCGCAAGTTAGAGGCGGCGGGTGATGCAGAGCGCTGGAGGAGCTACCTGGAGGGCACGTGCGTGGAGTGGCTCCAAAGGTACCTGGAGAACGGGAAGGAGACGCTGCTGCGCTCAGGTACTAGGGGCCGCGGGGCCTCCCTGATCTCTCCTCCCCTGGGGCTGGCTTCCCACCAGGAAGGGAAAATGGACTCAGTGGCCGAACACCGCCCTCCCACGGGTGGGGAGAGGGAGGTCCGCCTGGGTGTTCAGGTTCCTACTAGAGAGTGACTCACCCAAAGGGCAGCTTTTCTCTAAGGACAATGGAGGAATCCAGTCTCTCCCAGGAGACAGGTGGAGACCATCCCTGCAATAACCCATCCGCGGTTCTCTTTGACCCTGGCAGCCACCCTGGGAACCATGGCTTAACCTCTCAAGGCCTTTTTCTCCAGTGAGAACATCTTTGGAGGTCTGACTGGGTGTTTTGAGTCATTCACTCCCCTCCCCCCGCCAGAGTCAGAACCATTAGTGCGCTCTCCCCCTTAAACCTACAGCCTCCTATCCTGGACTCTCTCCCTGATTCTAGAACTTCCCAGGATTAGAAGATCCCAAGGTCTAGGTGGTGACTGGGTTTTGTGCTTCTTCCATCCGAACCAATACCCAGTCCATCTCAAGATGGTCACATGAATGCCATTTCAGTGGCCTATAAAGGTAAACTCAGGTGTGCATTTTCTGATTCTCTTCCTCAGAACCCCCCAATACACACGTGACCCGCCACTCCTACTCTGACCATGATGTCACCCTGAGGTGCTGGGCTCTGGACTTCTACCCTGCGGAGATCACCCTGACCTGGCAACGAGATGGAGAGGACCTGACCCAGGACACAGAGCTTGTGGAGACCAGGCCTGCAGGAGATGGAACCTTCCAGAAGTGGGTGGCTGTGGTGGTGCCTTCTGGAGAGGAGCAGACATACACATGCCATGTGCAGCATGAGGGGCTACCCAAGCCTGTCACCTTGAGATGGGGTAAGGAGGGTTTTGGGTAGAGCCTCTTCTCAGGGAAATCAGGCCTTCTAGAGAACTTCAGCAGGGCCAGGACACTTACCAGAGCTCTGTACCCCTGACCTTGCCTCCATTTCCAGAGCCACCTTCTCCCACCATCCCCATCACGTGGATCATTGCTGGTCTGGTTCTCCTCGTGGTCATTGCAGTGATTGGAGCTGTGATCTGGAGGAAGAAGCGCTCAGGTAAGGAATGGAGTGGGGTGAGGGATCTCAGGTTTCTTGTCCCACTGGGGGATTTCCTCTGTAGCAGACTGCCCTGCCTTGTTACTGGGAAGTACCATCCTCCCAAATGGACTTGCCTGCTCCGGAGCTGATCATGAACACTCACTCTATAGCAAAAACTTGTGAAAATGAAGGACACATTTTCATCTTGCTAATTCTGGTGATGGGGACCTCATGCCCAGCAGTCACAGGACAGAGAGGAAAGTCCCTGCTGAGGACAGAACTCCAGCCTGCTGGGTGACCCAGCGACTCCTCACCTCGTTTCTCATGTTTCCTATCGTGTCCTGGGTGTTCAGTTAGAATTCTGGAAACTTCATTTAGAACCAGGACTGGGAGCTTCCTTTAGGATCTCATGGCCCAGCCTTGTCTCAGGCCTCTGATATGATATTTTTTTCCCACAGGTGGAAAAGGACCAGGCTACTCCCATGCTGCACGTAAGTATGGAGGGGTGATCCCTGAGACCCTGGGATAGTGTAGACAGGACCCCATGGGGAGCTCACACACCCCATAGCTACTCCTTTAGTCTCCTCTCCTGTGGGCTCTGACCACATCCTGTTTGTTCTCCCCTAGGTGATGACAGTGCCCAGGGCTCTGATGTGTCTCTCACACATCACCTTCCTAAAGGTGAGACCCTGGAGACCCTGATGTGGAGAAGGATTGGGGCACTAGGGACACTTTGCACATGAGGGGGGCTTCTGAGATGTCCCCACTTATGGGACTGACCTCAATTTGTACATTATTTTTTTTCACAGTGTGAGACCAGCTGCCTTGTGGGGACTAAGAGATGGAAGATTTCTTCACACCCCCACTTGGTGACATTAGCAACCCCTAATTTCTCTTTGTGCAGATGTCAGAATGTGTCTGTGTTCCTTTGAACATAATGTGAGGACATGAGATTTGCCCACCAGACACCTCCATATTCTGATTTTATTCTCTTTTCTGATGTGCTTTCCTGTTCCAGCAGAGGCAGGACTGGACCATCTCCATCCCTTTCTTTATTTCATGTTGGGCTGAGTACAAATGACTTACTTCTGTATTAAAAATGAGAATCCAGACATGAGTTGTATTTCCTAATTCTTGCCATATGGGGTTGATGAGGTAATAAAAGAGGAGATTTGTAAAACTGAGACAGCAAATAAATGGAAGCACTGAGAACCTTCCAGAATCCGTGTGTTTACTGTGCTGAGTCTTGCGAGTGGGGGCAGAAGGCTGTGAGGAGATGAGTGGGGATGGGGCCTGTGCCCAGTGTGTGCTCAGTGCATCATGGGGGTGACGTGCTCACCCCTCAGCTGGGTCATCTCTCTGCTCTGTGTCCTTCACCCTTGTGTGGAAGCTAGGCGCTGTGATCACAGGGACTTAGATATCACTTGTCACCAGGACCTTGTGCAGCAAGAGCTTCCTGGGACTGGGTCAGCCTCACGTCAAGCCTGGGTTGGGTCATAGCCTCCATTCTGGGGTGGGCTTTTTTCATTGTTTCTCTAGAGCATCAGGGTGGCTCTTGCTCTTGTGTGCAAGTTCTTGACCCATTCTCCCTGGGTGACCCTATCGGTTATAGCAGCAGGTGTCCTTTGGGCTGTGTTCCCACAGGCCTAGGTTGTCCCCAGCACACAGGAGTCTCTGTGGTACAGAGGGATGAACTTTCAGACTCATCCATCTCTTCCCCTCACTCGAGACCTGTTTTCTAGATTATTCTTAGAATTCTGGAGATAGAGGAGGAATCTGAAAGTTTTTCAGCCTTAATAAACATCAGTTTGTTTCTCTCTCCAGCTGCTCTGCCCTCTCTTCCCTACCCCTAGTTTAATGATCCTAGTGCTGGCTTGGATCCAAGTTCATGGATCTATAAAGCAGAGTCTAATGTAGATCTCTTTGTGGTTGGAGAAAAGGACCCAAAAAGCCTGAGTACAGTGTTTCTGGAGAGAGAGATCTGTGTGCTGTGCTGTGCTGTGCTGTGCAGGAGAGATGGTGTGGAGGGAGGGGCTGAGCAGAGGGAGGGAGGGGAGGGCAGCCCTGTGAGGGGAGAGAGACAGCACTGATGGGGAGGTCGGTGCACGTGGGGCAGCAGCTGCCTCAGAACAGCTGTGCCTGAGACTCATCTAGAAGAAGGAGTCCTCTATCTGCTCATTCATTCAACTGACAACAGTCATGTGCCACATACAGGACATGCTATGTTTCCATCTGGAACGCCTCAGTGAGACTAAGAAGAGGGAAAATGTGCTGGTCTTGTGGAGAATATGTTCTAGTGTGAGGGGCAGACTATACTTGACCCTCCGACAATGTGGGGACTGAGGTAGTGGCCCCCTCGTGCAGTCAGAAATCCAAGTATAGCTTTTGACTCCCTCAAAACGTTAGAACTAATAGCCTACTGTTGCTGGAAGCCTCACTGATAACATGAAGAGTCACTTAACACACGTTTATGTCACAGGTAGAAAACAGTCTTCTATCAATGAATGAAACTGCAAAAATTAGTCAGAATCACAAAGAAGAAGAAATGTATGCACGGGACTTACTGCAAAAAGTCCACACACAGGTGCACATATATGGTGTAAACCAGTGTCATTCGGAGGTGAACTGTGTATTGTGTAAGCGCAGTAGTAAGGGAAGTGTTTAAGTTGGAAGTTGGCAGGAGCTGTGAGGAAGGAGACCCAGAGATCACCTGTGCTGAGACAGGGACGATGGCTCCTTTACTCCAGGGATCAGTGGAGCCTCACTGAGAAGGTGACCTCATCATGGAGGTCTGAGGGTATTAGAAGGCTTTTGAGTTTTCTCTGAGTGAGGAGTGGAGTTACAGGAATGAACAGATCGACGGGATTGACTTTCTAAGCAGCACCTGTTTGCTGCTGTGAGAATCGAGAGGTGCAGGGTGAGCCACCAGTAGAGAAAATGTAGGAAACCAGTGCTGTGTCCCAGGAGGGGGATGTGGGCTGTACGTCTAGGGTGTGAGGAGGGAAGATAATAGAAGTGGTTGGATGCTGGATATTCACAGATGGACTTTGCAGCATTACCTAATGGTTCCATTCTGGGTGGTGAGGAGGAGGAATCAAGGAGGGCACCCAGTATTTCAGACTGCACGTAGAAATGTGCAGTGCCTTCCTTGGATATGGGGAAGATTCTGGAAGCAGGACACTGGGTGAAGCAGCATCACAGGCATCCAGGTTAGGCATGTGGAATCTGAGACAACTATTAGAAATGCAGTGAGGTTGGCAGTTGCATACAGAGTGCAGGGGAGGAAAAATATCTGGATTGGAGAAATAGATTTAGGAGGTATATGAAATCATCATATACATGATGATTAGAGCCTTCAGCAGAGATGAGGAAACCAAGGGGGTAAGAACCATAGAAGAGAAAGGAACAGGACCAAACTCTGGACTCCTCCGGGCTAAGCAGGCTGACCAGAGCACACACTCAGAGAGCACTGCACAGTCTGGTTCTGCATCTAGAAGGCACATAGACCAGGGAGGCCCAGCCTTCAGTGTGCACAGGAATTTCCTGGACTATGAGATCTAAACAGTCTGGGGTAGAGCGTGAGATGCTGGGTTGATAACAAGGTTGGTGCTGCTGCTGCTGCTGGTCGTCAGATCCCACACTGAGTAACGAGCACAGGAAGCAGGATCCTCACATGGCCACGCATCAGCCTCTCCTATAGTGATTCCTGGGCCCACGCCCAACATTTTAAGCTGGTGGGTCTGGGGAGAGGCCTGAGTATTTGGTAACAAAGCCATAGGGAATCCTGTGACTCCACAAGATAGAGAACACTGAAGTGATCGATGAGAGCCCTCATTGTGGGAAGGGGTCTTACAGACACATTTAAATGGTTTTTCGGGGGCATCTGGGTGTCCCACTCTTGGTTTCAGCTCAGGTCACGATCTCAGGGTCATGAGAACTAGCCCATGTGATGAGTCTGCTTGAAATGTCCTCCCTCTCCATCTACCCCTCCCTGCTCCTCTCACACATGCTTGCTCTTTCCCTCTCTCATTCTCTCTGTCTCAAATAAATAAATAAAATCTTCAAATGGTTTTTTGTAGGAAGAAAAATGCAAGATATACTGGGAGACGCTTTTTTTCTCTTCCGTGGGGCACAGCCGGGTGACTGACTGAGGAAGTTAACAGCTCAACATAAAATGTCTGAGTTAAATGTCTGCATCACACAAAAGAAAATGGTGACTGTGTGACATGATGCACGTGTTAGTCAATGTTACGGTTGTTATCATTGTGAAATACAGAAATGTATCGATCAGCAGGTTGTACCCTAAACTCACACAATGCTGTATGTCAATCATATCTCTATAAAGTTGGTTTAAAAATGCCTGAATTCTTGTTCTTGGAAAGTCTTTACATGGGTTTCTGACTCCTTGTGATACATACATACAGTTACAGTGAGACTCGGGGAAGAGAGAGACTATATGGGACCTTGTTTTACTTCCAGGAAAGCCACAATACAGGCTTGAGACTACACAGCCGGGAGCAGAATCCACACTGAACCCTAGACAGAGGCCCACAGACAGCCAGTGCCCACTACTGGGTATCAACACCACTGTCCACACCACTGACTCCCCTGAGGGAGGCCACTGGACCCTGCAGCTGGGACTGCTATCGCTGCTGCCCTGACAGCTGCATGACACAACTGTGACACGGTTCAGACCCCCTGTGCCCAATACATGAACACTGTCCCAGTGAGTCTATTATGCGTCCTGAGTCTGAGTCTGGCAGGTGGTCACATGACTGTTGAAGCTTCATGTCATGTCCACCTGCAGGACTGGCAAAGTGGGTTCCCCTCTCTGTGGATGGAGGTGTCTCTGCCGCCAACAAGATTGTTGACAGGTGGCATTCCTGTACATGGGAAGAGAGGTATAAGTTCGGGGAATGGACATTGGGGTTCAGGAATGGAAAAGAATGACAAATTTCCACATTTGGAGCCATGATCTGAGACTAGAACTTGATCTGCACGCTGTAGGCACTCAAGTCTGCTTGGAGGAGGAGTGACTCATTAAGTGGCATCTTTCAACTTATTTCCTTGATGGTTGTTATGGGCCCAGGTTTGTCCACTTCAGTCCCTACTCACTGGTAAGTGGAGCAGCATTGTTGGGTCATGAAGTGATTGCTCAACACGTCTTCTTCCGGCCTTTGTCTCTTCCAGGGATCAAAAACCCAGATCTGTGTCACTTCAGATGATCCTCATATACACACTGACATTTGATGTTTCTTTCTATATGTACATATTTCTGGGGAGAGTATCCATAATTTCACCCAGTCTCCTGTGGCCTCCACAAAAGTCTGAAAACACTTTACAGTACAGACACTGTCCTACATCATCTCTGGTCCACGAACAGCTATAATCGCAGTGTTTCAGCAGATCCAATGACATGATATTCATGCTCAGTTTTGCTTGGCAATGACCAGTCTCAGACAGGAGAAGGTAGAGATTTCTGGCTTATACTCACTTCCAACTTCTGCGTGTACTTTCTGTGGCCTGAGTAACAGTTCCCAGACCAGGGCTGGCTCACAGAAGACACTGATCAGCACTGGTTTAGGTGACTTACACTCTAACACTGACTCAGGTGCCAGATAAAGAGCAGAAATGAAAAGTACTTACTGAGGATTCTATTTCTACCTACACAGCAGACTAAGGTTTAAGGCTGCCCCTCTCCATGTGAGGTGATGAGCACTGGTGTTATATGCAACTGATGAATTATTGAACTCTACATATGAAACTAATGATGTACTCTGTGTTGGCTAATTGAATTTAAATAAAAACAATATTTTTAAATAAGG